CGCCACCTCGCTGCCCCCCTCTAGGTCTCCTGACACTCTCATTGCCTGTTTCTTATCCTCACTATTGCTACTTGACCAGTCTTCCTTATTCTCTCTTTTATGCTGATTTTTACATTCAATTTTCCATCCATTGACATATGCCAGCCTAGTTTTAGAAGACAGAAATTGAATAAAATAAGAGGGAAATTAGCATATCCATTCCAATAGAATGGAGATGTGAATCATATACAAAATGTATTTGACTTTGGAATGTAGGCTGAGATTAAGTCACCCTTTCAGAGTTTGCCCTCATCACCTCCACCCCCGCCCCACACATATGTCAGTTTTCTTTCTCCATTTCATCCTTTCATAGTGTCCTTTTATGGAAGAGGAGCTGGTTGGTGAAAACAGAGTCACCGCAGTTATCTGACTGCAGATAACTGAGATTTGGCTGTAATAGTATTTGCAAGAACGATAGGTGTGGGATGGAAGGAGAACAGAAAATGGACAAATTAGGGTTTTCATTCTTTCAAAGTCCCTGACCCAGTGTTGCTTGTGTTACTGTTTCTTAAAATATTTTTTTCTATTTACTTTGTGCTTTAGAGAAGAGTGAAACAAGAAAACAAAATGAAGGCTCAGAAAGAGGAAATCCTGGACTCTGGTGTTTTGCAGGACAAGAGTAGAGACAGACCAAGCATTCGATGGGGTGACAGTGAGGAAGGGGAAAGAAGGAAGCATATGGAAACTATGTCTGTGATGACAAGATTGCAGTTGCTACTGCCGGTGAATTTCTTCCTGTCCTAAATTTCTCCCTCTGTCCCTCTTCCTTATGATGCTGCTACTATATTGGTAGAATTGAAGGGAAATCCAAGTCAAGTTAAATAAACAAACATTTATTAAGCACCTACTATGTGTAGGGATACAAAGAAAGGCCAGAACAGCCCCTGACCTCAGGAAACTCACATTCCAATGGGGGAGACAACATGCAAACACTGGACAAACAAGGTATAGACAGGATAAATGGGCGGTAACCTCAAGTGGGTACATTAAAGGGTATTGGGAAAGGCTTCTTGAAGAAGGTGGGATTTTGGCTGAGACTTGAGGAAAGTCAGGAGACGGAGCTGAAGAGGAAGAGAATTCTAGGCACGGGGGACAGCCAGGGAAGACACTCAGAGGCCAGAGATGGAGCATCTCATACCAGGAGCAGAAAAGAGGCCAGTCACTAGACTGCTGCGTATGTTAAGGGGAGTAAGATGTAAGAAAATTGGGAAGGCAGGAAGGGATCAGATTTGGAGGGCTTTAAGAACCAAACAGAAGATTTTGTGTTTGATCCTGGAGGTAATGGGGAGCTACTGCAGTGTCCTGAAGGAGATGAGGGAGACATGGGCAGACCTTTGTTTTAAGACGATCAGACTGATGGATGAGTGGAGGAGACTTCAGGCAGGGACACTAACCACCAGATTATTGCAGAAGTCCCAAAATGCACCTGCACTAGGGTGATGTCAGAGGAGAGAAGAGGGCCACGTATGGGAAATGTCATGGGGAAAGGAAAGAGAGCCTGTCCGCTAAACTCCAAAAAGTCATTGCTACTTACAGGTCCTCTCAGTTCATTTTGAAACTCTTCTGTGCTATGTCCAGGGAGTCCTAACTCTCCCTTTGATGGAGTCCTGACCCTCTGCTCTCTGATAATCAAAGCTCACGGGCCTCACAGGGGGTTGAGTTCCTGAAGACTGGCCTTCTCCACTGTGAAGAGTCATCTTCGGCATGAAATAGACTATACAGTGATTTTCTGGAGGAGAGAGAGGGCTTTCTGAATCATTAGCAGCAAAACCACAGGAGCGAATCTACCCAAATCCCTGGAATGTTGGACAGTACCAATGGAATAAAGTGGAGCGAAAGACAAATGAAATAATAGGGAACATTAGCTAGACACTGGCATGAGGATGAGATTTCCTGGTCTCTGGGATCACTAGTCAAAAGGATGTCATGAAAAGCACAACTGGTTGGGGACCGTGTCATCAAATCCAACATGGAGCTTACAAGTTGCATGGAGGGATAGAACCCTTAGTTGATTAATCCCTCACCTTCTCCTGCCTGCCCAGAGATATTCTGAAGAGTAGATATTCAGATTCTTCATCTGTAAAAGGAAATCCTACATCCAGTTTTATTTGTGATGCTGTGTTGTCTGCAGGGTTGATTAATAATCTGTGTACCTTCCTTCCTTCCAACCTTGACTCTAAGCATAAGCCTTCCATGATTATTAACCTTACTGACTTTGAGCATCCTTTTATTCTGCACCCCCTCTACTCAAGTGGTACCGTCATCACAGTGCTTACCACTGGTTCCCTTTCCTCCGGGTGGCAAGGGGAAGTGAGCTGTGTTGGGCCAATAGGCTGGGCAGCTCTGGGAGCAAACCTCCAGTGTGTGCTCTCTGAGGGTTCTGCAGCAGCTCAAACACAGCACCCCAGAGATACCCCACACTTGCCACAAGAAAGGCACTAGGGGCGGAAGCCTGGGAGCCCCGACTCTGTGGATGCCCCTCTTCACTGGCCTGTAGTTATATGTGACCACCATGCCCATCTTAGGCCAGTTTGATCAAAGATACACCAGCCACATGATCTCCCTGCTTCTTTAATATATCTAGCAAATAGCAGTCTCTGGTAGATGTGTCTATGCAGCTAACCCTGGGATAGCCCTATTGTTTCAAGAATCCCCAGTTTAAGGGGACTTCTGAGGGTCCTCCAGTTTCCCTGAAGATTATATGATGTGTCTTCTCTTTTTCGTATTAGCCCTCTGTACTATTCTCTGATAATTTGCTCTTCCTTCTTTCCTTCCTTCGTTCTATCTTTCTTTCCATCTATCTAATCTATCCGTACACGCAGATTTATACCTACACACATACGTGTATATTTAAACATGCGTGTTGTTGTTTAGTTGCTTCAGTCATGTCTGACTCTTCATGACCCCATTTAGGGTTTTTTTGGCACAGATACTAGAGTGGTTTGCCATGTCTTTCTCCAGCAAAATATATATATACAGATGTATATGTTATCATCCTTGTTTTTAAAGTCTATTTTCACTTTGTTATGTTGTATGTCCCCCTTTGTGCTGTTGAGTTCCAACAGGAGGCCGCCATGTTCTGTCATCCTTTTGTGTCCCCTGTAGCACCTAGCATGGTGTTGTGCATGTGGTCAGTGCCTAACAAATATGGATTCAACCATTCAGATCAGTAGTGTTTTGTCATGTATTTCAGAGTCTTTTGCAGTAATCAGTAAATGTGGATGAGCCCTGGGGCACACTCCTCTTAACATGTACCTCTCCACCTATGTCCATGAATTCCTATTGCCTTCGAATGGATCTGCCTCCCCCAAATGAGAGCTCTTCTTGGCAGACCTGGGGTCGTGCCAGTGACCAGTAAGTAAGGTTCGCTCACTCAGACACAAGAGGAGTCAGTAAATCTGAGTTTTCCTCCTGCTTTAGCAGCCGTGCCTCTGAGTGATCCTGGACAACTTGCAGAATCTCTGCATGATCCAGTGTTTTGCTTACCAATTTTATAGAAGCTTCTGACGCCAGCTTCCACAGACACCCAGTCCCAGAGATTATATGCTCCTTACACGCACTAGGGTGCCATCCTCAGGCCAAGATGGGCCATACTATCAACATCAACTCTTAGGTGAGTGGGTATGAGGTTGTTTCTGTTGGACAGTCTGTCTTTTCATCTCTATGGGATGTTTCTGCATATCCACAGCAGTATTTCACAGTTTAAATAGAACATTTCTATGTCTTCACACAATTCCCTTCACAGTATAGATTTTGGGGAAACATCTCAGTTCAGCAAAAAGCAATAGTTACTGGGAAGAAAGTAGGTTAGGATTTTTCAGGTAGAAGATAGAGGGTAGTATAGGAGGTGAAGGTGCCGTGTGCTAATTCAGCTTGCCTAGATTGGAAAGTGGCCCAGTACCAGAGGTAGATATGGAAGCTAAAGAGTCCTGCCCTTTCCTTTAATTCCATTTCTCAAAAGACCCCTACAGTGGTAGGGGCATTGGTTTGCCAGCAGAGTGAATCTGGACGTGACCAGGTTCATGACTAGAGTCCCTTGCTCTCTCACTTGCGGCCTTCTGAAACTCATGGAAGATGGTTGAGTGAGGTACTATGTGCTTTATACAGCAGGACTTACAGTCTCCTTCCTTATACACTCTTCATGCCACATTCTTGGCAGGAGGTGGCTCTGTGGTTAGAGTGCTGGACTTGGCATCGTGAAGACTTGCGTTTCTAATCCTGCCTCAGACACTTAGTAGCTCTGTGGTCCTCTATGGTCCCTTAACATGGCTCAGCCTCAGTTTCCTCATCTGTAAAATGGTGATAAATTCCCCTACCTCCCAGGATTTTTGCAGAGATCAAATGAAGTAACACATATACAGTATTTTTCACACCTTAAAATGTTACATAAACGCTAATGCTTATGATTATTAGCTCTCCTCAAAGCCTGTCTTAGGTACCAGCTCCTTGGGGAAGCCCCAGTTGTCAGTGCCCTCCCTTTTCCCAGAGCACGTTCCATTGACTTAATCTGTGTGAAGATTGTGCTCCCTCCAGTGGAAGTTAATCTCTCTCCTTGAGAGCAGGATAAGCGCCCACCAATAAGTACTTGTTGAATTGAATTAAATTGATCTTACTGAACCTCTCTGGCACCCAATAAATGGACTCTGCCCCTGGGCTCAGAACTAACTGGACTTAATTCAGTGCTCTGGGTTATTGCAACAATAGCATGTTAATGCAGTTCAGTAGGTATGGGGTTGTCGGTGAGTCGACGTGTCCTTAACATCCAGCAGAGCTTTTCCTAGTGCCCCTCTTAAAAGAGGCCCAAAGCGTTGTTACTGCAACTAGGACTTGAGAAGCTATTGATTCCTTAAATGGAAGGCAGCATTAGACATGGCAGTCAGCATGCCTTACCAGGACAAAGGGATTCTCTTGTGTGTGTTTGTGCCTGGCTGGGGACCATCTCTGTGTTTCTGACCTCACAGGGACAGCACATCAAACTCTTTAACACCCGATGGCTCTGAAGACATGCCAGTGGGTCAGGATGCAGAGATCTGCTTGCTGAAATCTGGAGAGTTGATGTGAGTAGCACTGCAGGGTGGCATTGGCCAAGTTGGAGTGCACTGAGGTGGGGAACCAAGGAGGAGCCCCTCTTGGTTGGGGCCTTGATTCATTGGAGGTCAAAAGATTATTGACAAGTCTACCAATTTTGGCGACCTCAGGCAGTCCTTTGATTCTCATGCCACAATTGATGCCTTCATGTAAATGCCACCATCTTTCTCTGGACCCTTCTTGCTCCTTCTCCCATGTCCTTTCTGTCCTGCTACTGCCTGACTGACTTGCTGAACTAGACTGAGAAGTACAGAATGAGAATGTCATGGGAGAATTGCCCATTTGCCCTTACTACCCCAGTACTTGGGACTCCCACAAAGCCCTATCCATAGATAAACATCACCTGCAGGCAGGAACATGGGATGGTCGCAAACCTTTGCCCTTCTTCAGCCCCCTTTAGAAATGTGAACAGTGATATTCCCCAAACTCTCTTTTCTTTCCCAACTCCTTTTACCGTTGGAGAAACCTCATCCACTGTACATGGAAATACATCTTGACTTTCAGACTGTCCCTCTACCCTTTAGGCCATGTGGACTCTCCTTAGGTATTATTTCTACTATTATTCCCATCTTACAGATTAGAAAATTGAGGCCCAGAGAGTGGCTTGCCTATCATCATATAGTGTCAGAGGCCTAAGTTGAAACCAGATCCTTCAGCACCTGTCAGCCAGGCTCTGTAACATTGTGGCCAGGGCAGCTCCCTCCCTGCTCAGAATTTCTCCTAATTCAGTGCCGTATCAGCATAGAATACTTATCAGCTAAACCCTCTTCACTTACGGGAGATACCCACTGGCCACATCCCGGTAAAGCAACATCTTTAGGGGTAACTTCTCTCTTTTTTTACATTTTTAACGTACCTTTTTGTTTTGTTTTGTCTTTCAAAAAACAAATCATGGGGTTAATTTTCCACCTTTTTGCCTTCACTGAAGAGTACAAAGAGCTAGGGAGAACAAACTGAAATCAGTAGGGGAGATCACTAACCATCTTCCTCCTCACCCTCAATCACTAACAGCCTCCCTTTTTCTCATTAGAATAGGGGCCACCTTTTTTGCGTATCATGGACTCCTTGGGCATTATCCTTTCTCAGGATAATGTTTTTAAACAAGTAAAATAAAATCTACAGGATTACAAAAGAAGCCAATTATATTGAAATCATTATCATGGGCTTCAGGTTAAGCAACCCTGCATTAGAATGTAAACTGGCAAAAAAGGATTATTTCTTTCTTTGTACTTGTATCCCCACCACCTGGCACAGTTCTAGGTCACAGTAAGCACTTAGTAAATGTTGATTGATTTTTATCCATTGATTAGTATAGTCCCAATTCCCATGCAAATAATTCCTACTTTATAGGAGCTAGAAATTTTTCAGTTCCCAAGGGTAAAAGTTTTCCTTCTAAAATCTGTTTAGTTTATTATTTTATGTATGTAAAATAATTATAATGCTAATGACAAGTTTGTTCAAATACAGTTCTTACCAAGCTACCCTCCCAAAAATAAAATAAAATGAAATAAAATCTCTGCTTGGTGGGAAAGGGAGGGCCCAAGATTTCTCTGCTGAATGGACAAGAGAGAGGTTGGTGATCCCTCGTATCTTCCTTTCAGGATAAAATTACCCCTCACAGTGGAAGAGATCATAAATTTTGGGGAAAGCAACAGAGAGCTGTTCGTCAGATCCAGCACTTACAGCATCATCCCAATCACTGTGACTGAGACCGGCCTCACCATCAGCTGGGTCTTCTCCTCTGATCCCAAGAGCATATCATTCAGTGTCGTCTTCCAAGAGTCTGAGCACGCTGCCTTGGATCAGTGTAAGGTAAGGGTCCTTCTGGCGGGCCGCGCCATGACTCCACACACCCAGAGGTAAAACCATCAGAAGGCTGTGTCTTCAGACTTGCTCCCTCCAGATCTTTTTGGCGCCAAAGCTGGCGGAACTACTTCTGCAATCACTAGCTTCCAGCCAGGTGTGTGCTGGTAGGTATTCAGCAGCTGGCTCTCTGGGGAAAATATGTTTGCACAACACACTTTGGAGTTTAAGCTGCATTATTCATGTTTCCTCTGTCCCCTTCTAAAGTCCAGAGACAATCAACAAAACAAAACACACCGAGCCCTAATTGGAAGTGTTTGCAGATTTCTGAGATGCCAGCACTCATGCTGACAAACTAACAATGGGCTACCCCGGCCCCAGCCCTCTTTCCCAGGCCCTACCAGCACATTACCTTGTCTGTGCCCCCTGCTGTGAGAGCCGTGGCAGCTTCTCTTGTTCTATCCAAACAAACCAGCCTGGGGCAAAAGGAAGCCACTTTCTGTGCCCTGAGTTGTTTAGCATTGTGCTCCGACAGGCCATCTTTATCCATCTGGAATGTGAGCTGTGGTGATTCTCCCCCCCTTGAAATAGAGCGTCAAAAAAGCATCAGGGGAAGAAAAAGTTTCAGAGCTTGTCACGGATGACGCATGTCACAGGCAGCAGGAAAGCAAAGGCTGCCACAGAGCATGTGATTCTTGATTGTCAGGAATCCTGGATCGATAGCTAGGAAGGCCTCGGGAGCCCCTCCTTTGGCAGAGGTGGAAACTGAGGCTTAGGACGGCGAAGGGACCGACGCGAAGATTGTCCTTTGTTTTCCAGGAGGACCAAAATGATGTCCCCATGGTAGTCAAGTTACAGTGCCTCTAACTGTGGCTGATCACAGGCCGGCCACAGATAGTCCGTGTGGACGTTTGGGGTGGATTCTCTAAGTCTGCGCATCTTAACAAGTAGTAGGTAACATTTGATCCTGGGTCCTCTGACTTCAGAGCCAAAGGCCTTTCACGTGGTACGTCAGCTAGTCCTTGTTTGTCCCTCCTGTGTACCCGGCACTGTGTTGAGTGTGAGGGATACAGCCTCGTGCTCCACTCATTGTAGATCCTGAATTCATGGAGCTCGGACAAGTTGCTTAGTGTACGTGGCCTAGTCCTCCACCACAGCCTATTCTGGTTCCGCGGGGTAGTGTGGAGGTGACCCTGGGTTCTCAAAGGCCGTGTCAGTGAAGCACAAACCGCAGCAAAGACTTCCTGGGTGCCCCAGGGTCAGACCCTGTGTCCATCTGTGAAGCAGCCACTTAGTGGTGCTCAGGGAGCTTCATCACCAGCACCTTAGCTGCCAGGCACTTACGTTCTTGACCACAGCAATGGCCAAAGGCCATTTACAGAGGCATGAGAGGAGGGGGCTGACTCACACTGGGTCAGTCACAGATCCTTGAATGACTGGAGTGTCTCTTAGAATTAGGTCTGATTCTAACCTGAATATCCTAGGATTTTGTTTGTTTTGTTTTGTTTTTTTGGAAGCAGTCTGGGTTAAGTGACTTGGCCAGGGTCATGTAGCTAGTAAGCATCTGAGGCCAGATTTGAACTGAGATCCTCCTGACTCCAGGGCTGATGCTCCATCCACTACACCACCTAGCTGCCCCTGGGATTTATTCTTTTCTTTTTCTTTTTGGTGTGGCAATTGGGGTTCAGTGACTTGCCCAGGGGTCACACAGCTAGTAAGTGTAAAGCGTCTGAGGCCGTATTTGAACTCAGGTCCTCCTTACTCCAAGGCTGGAGCTTTATCCACTGCACCACCTAACTTCCCCCTTAGGATTTATTCTTAAGAAAATTAGAACCGGACATAAAAACTCTAACCAGATCAGAACCAGATGTAGAAACTCAGGGATTGTTAGTGTAGGTGGAAATGTCAGCAGGATTATGTCCACTCTGTGTATCTCTGTTCTCATGTAGTTGGTGATGCTGTGAGCATTCTAGAAGAGAATAAATCCCTTCTTGCTGGCTCTAATTTCTCCTTCTCCAGGCAATATCACTAAGCAATAGCTTGAACCTCAGAATCCATGTAGGCTCCTGTAGGTAAAATGTTTTTGGTTGGAAAGATTTGTTTCTACTATAAAGTCTTTAACGAAAAGATCACACCCAACTTTAGGAATTAGGTGTATTCTACCCAGGAAAATATCACCTTTCTGGTTTTATGCTCCTTCTTAAGTTTCCTGATTTGTAGGCAGTCTCTCCACCAATGCACAGAACAGAAAAATTCACTACCCAGTGACCAGCCTTCTGAGGATGAAACTCTCCATGATCCACATTGGGCCTGCCTTTGCAAAACAGTCTGTGGATAAGCATTTCTTAAGCACTTCTCATGTGCCCAGCCCTGTGCTTGATTATTGGGGATACAAAGAAATGGACCATCAGTTGCTAGGCCTGTTCCCAGCTTGGTAGGTAGGTCCGGCCAGAAAACAAATTTCATTAATGTAGCCTTCACAAATCCAGAGTCTCAGAGCCCCAGGGGCTCACCCGCGGCCACCAGCCTTGAGAACCGAGACCTCCCGGGCTGGCTTTTCTCCTTTCTCACAGATGCCTTATTGTGAAAATTAAGCTAATCTTTGGGACATGGTAAAAAAAAAAACCTAGCAAGTGAAACATACAATAAAAAACTGAAATCAACAGAAGAGACTTATACTAATATTCGATGATGGTGGTAGCCATTTTCACACATCCTAAGAAAACAGAGAACAACAGGATACCATTACCCATCTTTGATGACAAAGAAAATGGAAAAACTCAGGAGAGCAAGACTGAAACTACAATTTTGTTGAAACCTTTGGGGGGATGTAATCTCTCATAATAGGCCAGATATTGTTGAATCATTTCATTCAAAAGGCCTACATCCATGAATATCAGTGTAGCATCTAGAAATAACTGTACTTATGTCTCTGGAAATATTAAAAAAATTAGAATGGAAGGAAATCTCAAGGTAGCTATCCCAGTTAGTGGAGAGGAAGTGGAATGTAGCACAAACAAAGCATTCATAGGGCCTGTTTACAAAAGTCCTGAGGAAAATAAACGAGACAAAAGAAAACATCACATACAAAAGGTCATTGGTGGAGTGGAAACCAAACACAAATCCAGAGTCTCTTTCATGATGTGATTAAGTAGGACTTTACTGGGAAAGTCTTTTGTTACCTTTTAGGGGTCTTGGGGGGATTTTAATTTTTTTTAAGTTCACAAAAATTGTATTTTCTCTCCCTTCTCATGATTAAAAAAAAAAAAGCAACAGCAAAAAAGCCTTGTAACAAATACACATAATAAAGCAAAACAGACTCCCTCATTGGTCATGTGCCAAAATAGACATATATCACTCTGTACCCTGAGTCTGGCAGGTAGCATGCTCCATCATCAGTCATCTGGAATCATGGTGGTCATTGTATTGAGCAGAGTTCTAAAGTCTTTCAGAATGGTTGTTCTTTACCATGTTGTTTTTATTATAGAATTTGTTCTCTTGGTTCTGCTCACATGATTCCTTATTAATTGATATGGGTCTCCCCAGATTTCTTGGAGACCATCCCTTTTGTCATGTCTTACAGCCCAATAGAATTCTGTTCCATTCATATGCCATAATTTGTTCAGCCATTCCCCAATCGATGATCAACTCCTTCAGTTTCCAGTTACTTGTTCATACACACGCACACACACACGCACACACACACAGCTGCTATAAATATTTTTATACGTATGGTTACTTTTCCTCTTTCTTTGATCACTTTAGGGCATAGGCCTCATAGTAGTAGTGCTGGGTCAAAGGCTATGCACAATCTAGTAACTTTTGGAGCACTGTTGTGGATTGCTGTTCAGAATGACTGCACTGAATAGAATTCACAGCCCCACCAACAATGCCTTAATGTGCCTTGTCATGTTTTTTATTTTTTTGTTAGCTTCTCCAATCTTATGGATGTGACGTGGAAATTCAGAATTGATTTAATTTGTATTTCTCTGTTAATGATTTGAAGTGATTTTGCTTATGGTTATTGATTACTTTGGGAGGCTAGATGGTGCAGTAGAGACAGAAAGAGTCATCTTCATGGGTTCAAATCCAGCCTCAGATGCTTACTAGATGTGTAACCCTGGGCAAGTCACTTGGGCCTGTTTGCCTCAGTTCCTCATCTTTCAAATGAGCTGGAGAAGGAAATGGCAAAGCACTCCAGTATCTTTGCCAGGAAAACCCCAAATGGGAGCACTGGCCCTGAAGTCAGGAGGACCTGATTTCAAATCCAGAGTCAGACCAAACACTTGACACTTACTAGCTGTGTGACCCTGGGCAAGTCACTTAACCTCAGTTACCTAAAAATAAAAAAATGAAAAAAAAAAAACCAAACCCCAAATGGGGCCATGAAGAGTTGAATATGACTGGAATAACTGAACAGCAATAAACAAATTGATAGCTTGGATTTCTTCCTCTGAAAACTGTCTGTTCATATCTTTAGGGCAGTCAAGGAATATGAACTACGTATCAATAGAGGAGTGAGATCTTGCTCGTTCATATGAGTCTCCCTGGATTTCTTGGAGACCATCCTTCTGTCTAACGAGACCCTTAGTAGAAATGTGCTACAACACTTTTTGCCCATTTACGTGCTTCCCTTCTGATTTTAGCTGCTTTGGTTTGTTTGTGCAAAACCTTTTTAATTTCGTATGATCAGAATCGCCCATTTTGCCTTCCGTGCCTCTCTTCTCCCTTATTTGGTCACAAGCTCTTTTCCTATCCATAGATCTGATGGGTGACTTTTCTCTTTGCTTTTGTTATTTGTTTAGAACATCACCCCTGAAGTTGTGTGTCCATTTAGAGCTTGATAGATGGTGTGAATGTTAGTCTATGTCTAGTTTCTGCCAGATTTCTTTCCAGTTTTCCTAAAAAATTTTGTTGAATTGTCCATCCTTAGCCCAGTAGTTGGGGCCTTTGGGTTTACCCAACAGTGACTATTATGCTCGTTTGCTTTTGCACATTGGGTCGCTAAT